ATCACATAAAGATTTTGGAATTGTAGAAACACTAGCACCCAAGTCACACAAAAAAAACACTCATAATTTTTAATCTTGACATTGATAGTAGGTTCCTATTCATCATGCAATTTTCTAGGAATTGAAATATCTAATTCCAACTTTTCTTCCAAAGCTTTCATCATATCATCAACAATATGTTTAGTAAAAGCTTTGTTTTGTTCATAAGCATGGGGTGAATTTATCATGGATTGCAACAAAAAATACAATCAATCAAAGAGAAACTATCATAATTAAAGTCTTTGTAATCCAAAAGAGTGGGAACATCACTAGTTAAAGTTTTGACCTCTTCAAACCCACTTTTATCAATTTTCTCAACAAGATTTTCACCCTCCGAATTATCGGGATGCCTTCTAGTTAAAGTTGACTCTTCTTCATTCCCTTTATTATTAAAATTAATTTTACTAAACAAAGAATCAATAGAGGAAACACCAATCATTTTAAGATCTTCGTCATTTTTATGAAAGCAATCACTAGAAAACACTTTTTCTAAAAACTCTCTTCGAGCTCTAAGCATAGCGGTTCTTTTCTTACTTTAATCCATAGAAACATATAAAGCTTTAATTGATTCCTCAACCTTAGGCACAAAAAATTTCGTCTTGAGATTTTCTGCATCATGAGAAATTCTATCAATACTTCTATACATATCATCAATCTTATTCCACTTTTCTTCTATTGTAGCATTGAAAACCTTTTGAGTATTAATAAATTCTTTAATATTATTCTCAAGATTAGATGTGTTCCTATTATTATTATCAGAAGAACTACCATAGGAATTACCATAATTATTAGAGGAATTACTAGGAAAAGGCCTAGGATTAAAATTACCTCTATAAGCATTGTTATTGAAATTGTTTCGAGAGATAAAATTCACATCCATGGCATCATATTTTGCTCAATCAAAGTAGACAAAGGCACATCGTTAAAATCAACAGGTGCATTTTTATTAGCAACCAATTTCATAAGAGCATCAACTTTTTCACTCAAAGAAGAAATTTCTTCAACCGAATTAACTTTTACTAGTAGGAGCTCTTTCGGTATGCCATTGTGAACAATTTGCCATAATATTATCAAGCAATTTGGTGGCTTCACCCAAAGTAATTTCCATAAAAGTACCACCCGTGGAAGAATCCAAAAGATTACAAGAAACAAAATTCAACCCTGCATAAATTTTTTGTATGATCATCCAAAGATTTAACCCATGAGTTGGACAATTCCTTAGCATCCGTTTCATCCTTTCCCAAGATTGCGCAACATGATCATGTTCAAGTTGCTTGAAATTCATGATCTGGGTTCTAAGGGAAATAATTTTTGCGGGCGAAATATATTTAGTAATAAAATCATCTTTGCATTTATCCCAAGAATCGATACTATTGCGGGGCAATGAAGAAAACCAATTTTTTGCACGATCTCGCAAAGAAAACGGGAATAATTTCAACTTCACAACATCATTGTCCACATCTTTTTTCTTTTGCACATCCCATAATTCCACAAATGTGTTAAGATGGGACGTGGTATCCACATTAGGAGTACCAGAAAATTGATCTTTCATATCAAGATTCAGAAAGCGGTGAGCAATCAGAGTGCTAATGAAATCGTTGTTGTTGGTATTGGAGAAATCACACAATTTGGTGTTCTCTTAAGTCATTATGACTATGCAACAAGATTAAACTAAAAAAGATTTGACGAAAAAACGGCGAACGAAAAAGAGGGCGAATAAAACGGCAAATTTTTGTGAGGTGGGGGAGAGGAAAACGAGAGACAAATGGTAAATAATGTAAATTCCAAGGAGATGAGATTTCTGATTAGGAACCTGGTAGATGTTGATGATGTCTCCCCGACAACGGCGCCAGAAATTCCTTTTGATGTTTGCTTGAACTACATTGGTATTTCCCCAAAGAGAAAGGGATGCTGCAGCACAACAACAGTAGGTATTTCCCACAGTGATGATACCAAGGTTATTGAACCAGTAGGAGAAGCACGCAACACTACGTAAACAACACCTACACACAAAGAAGAAATACTTGCAACCCGACATAAGAGAGGGGTTGTCAATCCCCCACGGGTAAAAAGATAGGTAAAATTGTAGTGGATTGGATAAATGGATCTCGCGGGAACGCGGGATAAAATAAAAATTGCAGCAAGGTATTTTTAGGTTTTTGGATTAATAGATCTGAAAATAAAAGCAAATAAAAATAGATCGCGGAGGAAAATATAATAAAGAAGAGACCCGGGGCCGTAGGTCTCACTAGTGGCTTCTCTCGAGAAAAATAGCAAACAGTGGGTAAACAAATTACCGTTGGGCAATTCATAGAACTTCAAATAATCATGACGATATCCAGGCAATGATCATTATATAGGCATCACGTCCAAGATTAGTAGACCAAGTCCTAACTGCATCGACTACTATTACTCCACACATCGATCGCTATCGAGCATTCATCTAGTGTATTAAGTTCATGGAGAAACAGAGTAATGCAATAAGAACGATGACATGATGTAGAGAAGATCTATTTATCTAGAAATAGACCCCATCTTGTTATCCTTAATATCAACGTTACATACATGTCGGTTCCGCTTCTATCACTGGAATCAAGCACTGTAAGATTGAACCCATGACAAAGCACATATTACCATTGCAAAATAAATAGATCAAATTGGCCAAACAAAACCCAAATATCCAAGATGAAATACGATGCTATAAGTAATCATGCATATAAGAGATCAAAAGGCTCAAATAACTTTCATGCATAAAAACATAGATCTGATCATAAACTCAAAGTTCATCGTATCCCAACAAACACATCGCAAAAAGAGTTACATCATATGGATCTCCAAGAGACCATTGTATTAAGAATCAAAAGAGAGAGAGGAAGCCATCTAACTAGTAACTACGGACCTGAAGGTCTACAAAAGACTACTCACGCATCATCGGAGAGGCAGCAATGAGGATGATTAACCCCTCCGTGCTGGTGTCTAGATTGGATCTGGTGTTTCTGGAACTTGCAGGCGGCTGGAATTGATTTTCGTCGACTCCCATAGGGTTTCTAGAATATTGAGGTATTTATAGAGCAAAGAGGCGGTGCGGGAGGCCTCCTAGGTGGGCACAACCCATGTGGGCTCGCTTGGGGGGCCGGGAGCACCCTCGTGGGTTGTGCCCCCCTCGGGGCACCCTCAGGTGCTTCTCAGGCCAATTGGGTGTCTTCTGGTCCATAAAAAAATCCACAAAAAGTTTCGCCGCGTTTGGTCTTCATTTGGTATTGTTTTTCTATAATGTAAAAAACAAGCAAAAAACAACAACTAGCACTTGGCACTATGTCAATAGGTTTGTACCAAAAATGATATAAAATGATTATAAAACATCCAAGAATGATAATATAACAGCATGGAATAATCAAAAATTATAGATACGTTGGAGACGCATCAACAAGTTATCAAGGTATGTTTTCAATAAACTTTTATCCTGGAGTCAAAAGTTACCATTGGGTTTGTATTGAGTTATCAACTTTATTGTGTGTATAATACCGTGTTATTTGTACAAAAAGTACCGAGAAAATATGTTTTTCAACAAACCCCCCTGCCCGGTTCACCTAAATATCGGGTATGCAATGCTTCTATTACCATGATATTCATGCAAACGTTATCGAGGTTCTATTTTTCAATAATTTCTCCTCGGGGTCCAAGTTATCATGATGTTTATACCTAAGTTATCATGTATATGATGCGTTATTACCATGATGTTTATACAAAAGTTACCGGGGTACATTTTTGACAACTTTTTTTTCTGCAGGACAAAGTTGCCGTGGTGTTTTTTTCTAAGTTATCAGGGTTGCCATGCGGAAAATACCATGCAAAAATTACCATGCCATTTGCACAAAAATTACCGGGGTATATTTCAACCCAAAAATTCCCTCATGTGAAGTTGCCATGATGTTGTAAGCTACATGGGCAAGGTATGCAACCCGTTGGTATATGACAGACTACAAGACAACTTGAGGAATCTCAAAAAACACAAGAAAAAATGTTTTTGTGGCTCATACAGCAGTGAAAAAAGTGAAGTATCATATTTCTGGCAATTAAACAACAAATACGGCTGGGTCAGTTGGTCAGTGCATTGTTGGCACACATCAAAGGGGCGTCTCGAGTTCCCATTTACATGATTATTCTTTCTCGCATCAACAACTGAGAAAAAAGAGCTCCATCTAGACATGGGCCAGGCTGGCAATTGTGCGTTGGAAAAAATATCTCAATCTCGACGTGGGCCGGATGGGCGATCGTGCGTGGAAGACGGGGCAGCGCGAGTAGTGGGATCGCCGGGAAATCCGGAGATCGCAGTATTTACGGCGCGGCGGCGCGATAGTTCGATCTGGATCGAGCGGCAAACAAATCGTTTGGATCTATTAACAAATCCAAAATGTTTGGAAAATACAAATTTCGTGATGTATTATATATAGGTTACAATTAATGTATTCTAAGTAATATATAAATAATTAATGTATTATATAGGCTACAATTAATGTATTCTAAGTATATATATTGGCACAATTAATATATTCTAAAGTAATATATAAATAATTAATGTATTACATATAGGTTACAATTAATGTATTCTAAGAATATATATTGGCACAATTAATGTATTCCATGTAATATATATATATAAATAATTAATGTATTATATATAGGTTACAATTAATGTATTCTAAGGATATATACTGGTATTAATGTATTCCAAGTAATCATAGACATATTCTT